TATTATGTGATATTTTATTTTCTTATGTGATATTATAAGTGGCACCTTTTGTTATCATATGATGAGCCATGATAGTAAAAGGTAATCTATCCATCGATATGAAATTTGTAAACCTTTGAATTGCTTTAGCCAGTTGTTAACTCTCCTCCGCTATAGATATCATATATGTCGTCTAGAATTGAAATAAAGGCAATCACCTCGGTCATTATCACTCGTGCACGAGAATAGTAAAGTTCAAAGAACACTCCCAGGATCCAGAAGTAGCATTCCACCGTTCTATCTCGAGCAAAATTGAGATTTTTTGAGGGAGCTAAATCATTCCACCACCTTCAAGTCATTCACAAATCAAAGTATACTCCCATGGCAACAGCATGTTCACTTTGTGGAGGCTATGCTCCTCCTTGTCATCCATCAATCGTCTGTCGATTTTCTGTAATTAAAAAAGGCTGCATTACATACATGGCACCCGTTGCAATGGCAACAGCCTGGCCTAGTTTGCAATCTATAGGGTTAAATTCTTTGAGGTGGTATTCCTCGTGATGCTCCATTAATAATGCTTTAACTTCCTATAAACAAGTATATCTCTCATGCTCTATAACTCAATTGTGATTTAGCAATGGGATCAATTGGATCTTGATAAAAAAAAAATATATATATACTCAAATCCAATTTGAATATTCAAATAATAATTAGTTAGACGTAAATATTTAAAGATAAGATTATGTGTACTGATTCGTAAGGGTCTTTGGGTACATTCCTTTTTAATTTAAAATATGAGATCTGGAAGATCAGTATACATAATCAAATTCAAATAAATTAAAAATAGATATGTATTCATCTTATGTGCTTAAATTATATTTAAAATATTTAAATAAAATGAAAACATGTTGGAATTCAACCTATTATAGGAAAATTGTACTTAAAACATCGTGAATTTTATTTGACTCAAATTCAAATAAATACATGTTTCCATCAACCGAAGATGAGTTGTTTTCGACGTCAGGTCTTTGTTGAAGAGTGTTTTTGTGTTTGACGCCTTTCCGCGAACATGTGGCTGTGCTTATCTCTTCTCGGTGGTGGATGATCAGCTCCGGGAGTTCATCACGGTGGGTGACTTGTAACTGCAGCCTCAAATCGAATGAGACTTATATTTGGACTTAATGTCAGCTACAGCTACAGTTTTGTTTTTCGAAAAAGGGAATGCATTAGCACACTTAAGAAAGAGTGTTCCAAAATAAAGATGATTGTGAGCAGAAGTGTCAAGTTGTGTGGGGATGAAGCTGAACTCGACAACCTTCAGCCTCATACAAAGAGTAGCATTATTAAAGACAGCAGAATCAGAGCATATCCATATCTTGCTTAAGCCCTCCTGCTCTGTAAAATATTGGGTTTCAAGTTGCTATTTCTTCCGTTATTACAGTATTGTGTGCTTTAATTGCAACATAACCAACTGCTCTGACCGAGATCTGTTGGTAGGTGACTATCAAGTCAAGAGTATTCCAGATATAATATATATATATATATATATATATATATATATATATATTATAAAAAAAATTATATAAAATAAAATATTCTTTTTGACAAAAACTTATTTCGAAAATCTATCCAATTATATTTAAATGAATAGGCAAAAACAACATGTTGGCGGATTTTTCTTAATATATATTAGAAGAAAATTATTGGAATTCATATCTATGATGAGACCTCCAAATATTAAAGACTGCTTATGGAATGTTCCGAACCCCACGTACATGATGGGACGTCTCGTGCCACAATCTATTTCATGGAGAGCTATGAATCTATTGTGTTTGACTTCATCGAGTCATAACATTCCAAAAAATTTAGAGTTTAGTAACAGAGTTGTCTGTTAAGGATTATGCCCTTATTACATAGTAAAGTGAGTCCCTTCCTGAGAGGGAAAGAGAGGCATCCTTGGCTTCAACAGTAGTGATCTCTTCCGAATTGGATTTCTGCCTTGTTGTAATAATGATGTCAGCTATATTTGCTCCATGATTATTTTGATACATGATAAAAATATTTAATCCGACAACACATGTTCTGATCAAAATATTATGGTTTGGTGACTAAAAAATAGAGTCATAACATTCTTGTGATGTCGCCGCTAAAATATTTTCATTCTTTGATCATAAATTTCAAAATTTTTAAATCATTTTAGTATATATTAGACTATGACGATTTCAAATATTGAGAATGTGTAGGTCTTCCTTCTTGTACTCAAAACATGTTGAATTTTATTTGACTCAAATTCAAATAAATACATGTTTCTATCAACTGACGACTAGTTGTTTTGGACATCAATTTGTGAGTATGTTTTCGTGTTTGATGCCTTTCAATGAACACGTGGCTGTGCTCATCTCTTATCGATAGTGAATGATTAGTGTCTGATGATCGACCCAGAAAAGACTAGAACCGGGTGGGATGCCCAACATTGTCCCTCCGACACTCACGTTAGGGTTGAAGTGGAAAATAGAGTGATGGATAAACAGTAACTATACACTTAAAAAGTTCAAGTTCATTCAAGATGAGACATGGATGCTCCTTGGGTCCTGATGTGGATTTAGATGTGTGCTCCATGTCCAACCTACGCGAAGGCTGAAGTTGGGTAGGTTTTTTCATCCGATCGCTTCAATGCTCAAGTTGTCAGTATTACCGAGGGTTAGTATATTTTGTTGGTAATTTCTTCATTATTGCCTCCTCATGACCAATAGATTTGCCCATCTGAATGTGTGATACTTGTGTCCTTTTTACTTTTTGGAACCTGAATCGATCTCTCATTCTTTCACTTCTCTTTTGAATGGAACCTGTGAAATTTGATAGAGCAGAAACTTAATGTGTGTTTCAGTTATTTTCCTACATGGCACGAGGGTAATTGGATTAATGTAGGCATGCAGACAAGGGGAGATACTAGGTTACTCTTTCGAGTTATCGTTACCACTATTCTGTGGTGACTATGGAAGGTTAGGAATGAATTATTTTTAAGCATAAGTCAGCATCTGTATGTGGCATCTTCTATAAGGTAGTTGCATTGGTGATGACTCATGACATGGCCAAACACTCATATGGTACTATGCATGGTGGAGTTCATTGGCAAGTGTCTTAAAGTAGACCTAAAGTCGAGATGATTTACATAAATTCAGAATAAGAGCTATTGGTACAAATAATATGCAAGACTATTCTTACCCCTTGGGCGACAAGAAATTTGATTGAAGATATTTGATATCTTCTTGGATATTTTGATTCTTTTTATTTGTAATGCATGTATATAGAGAAGGGAATGAAACTGTGAACTGGCTAGCTTCACGTACTTGGGGACACGTAATATCCTTGTTGTCTGAGCAGCCGAAACCAGAGAGCAGTGTAGTAAAGACCATGGTCGTCAATATTAGCATCATGGATTCGACTTAATGCTTCAGTTATTTCCTTCTGAAAGTGATAATCCAATCCAAGAAGCTGGATTGAATCAATCAATTCCATGATTTGCAGCAGATCAGTAGTATCCTTAAACATGCTTGTTACTTGCCCCCTCAGTTCTTCAGCTCTCTCTTTCATACTTGCATCACACTTCTGCATCATTCACGAACAAAATTAAGTAATGAATGCACATATATGAACTCGGAATTGTCCCTTCTTGCTAAGAATTTGAGCATTTCTGATATTTACTAGACAACAATTATTGTGAAAAAAAAAAACTACGTCGGAGAGATTTTTTAGAATGGTTAGCGTTATATCCATATCCAATCAGATTCTAAAATGATACACGATATCTTTATTAGATAATCTCCTCCCATTGAAGAATTTTAAATATTGTTAGAGACATGTTTCAACTTATATTTGTTTTAGATAATTATAAAACAACATACGTATTCTTAGAAGGAATTCATGTTACTAATTGGTTGGCCAATCATGCTAGAGCCAACAAACTTTCTGATCTTCGGAGGAATTCATTTCTCCCGGTCTTAGATCTTTTAGTTCGTGCTGTCACAGGTCATGAATTCCTTCGTCAATAAAATTATTTTCTTAAAAAAAAAAAAAGAATATGGTGGCGTTACATGCCTGTGTTTGAGGGGATGAGTGTAGGATAAAGTAGACGCCCCACACGCTCGGATGAAAGCCGACAGACTTGCGAACCACAATCTCATCACCTGGAGCAAGTGACAACAAATCCATAGTCTCAATTTTTTTTAAGTGGAAAAAATACTAAAGCTGGCAGATGGCAAGAGCATGTTCCCTTGTGTTGGAATTTATAAGGAATTCCAACACAAGGGACTATGGATTCCCATGGCAACAGCATGTTCACTTTGTCGAGGCTATGCTCCTCCTTGTCATCCATCAATCGTTTGTCAAAGGGAATGCATTAGCACTTAAGAAAGAGTGTTGCGGCTGCTAGGCAAGGCTGTCGCATCAGCCTTCCCAAAATAAAGATGATTGTGAGCAGAAGTGTTAAGTTGTGTGGGGATGAAGCTGAACTCCACAACCTTCTGCCTCATACAAAGAGTAGCATTATTAAAGACTGCAGAATCCATATCTTGCTTAAGCCCTCCTGCGCTGTAAAAAATTTAGGGTTTCAAGTTGCTATTCCTTCCGCTATTACAGTATTGTGTGCTTTAATTACAGCATAGCCAACTGTTCTGACCGATCTGTTGGTAGGTGACTATCAACTTAAGAGTATTCCAGATATTAAACATATATATATTATTATTAAAAAAATCTAGAAATAAAATATTCTTTTTGACAAAAGTGAAAAAAAAAAAAAACTTCTTTCCAAAATCTATCCAATTATGCTTAAATGAATAGGAAAAAACAACATGTTGGCGGATTTTCTTAATATATATTAGAAGAAAATTATTGGAATTCATATCTATGATGGGATCTCCAAATATTAAAGACTGCTTATGGAATGTTCCGAACCCCACGGACATGATGGGACGTCTCGTGCCACGATCTATTTCATGGAGAGCTTTTCAATCAGTCGGCCGATGAGTCTGTCCTCGTGTTTCAAGCCTTCCGGTGAACATGTGGCTGTGCTTATTCCCTTCTCTGTGGTGGATGATCAGCTCCACGACTTCAATACGGGAAGTCATCTGGAACTGCAGCCTCACATGAGACGCATTAGCACCTAAGAAAGTGAGTTACAGCTGCTAGGCAGGGCTGTTGCAACAGCGTTCCAAAAGGAAGAGTATCTCGTGAGTTCTCCCCAAACAAATGCAAGATGGTGATTGTTAGGGATGAAGCTGAACTTAACAACCTTCAGCTTCGCACAAAGGATAGCAATGTAAAAGACAATGCCATCTAGGAATCAGGGAGTGTATATATTGCTGTTTACGTAGGTGACGATGACGATGTTAGCAGAAGCATATTTAGGGCTTTAAGAATTGCTAACTATGTTAGAATATTAAGAGTCATACATATATAATTAAATGTGTTAAGTCATTATTTTTATTAGTCAAAATTAAAGTGATCTAATTAAAATAAAATTATTTGGCTAAGGGACATAATTGTTATGAAAATTAATTGTGTGGATATCATCAGTCATGTTCCTAACTTAATGACGAGATAAGTTAGGAATATGAAACTCTTGAGACATAATTGCAGATTCATCAATTATGAATACAATCATAATTGTAGATTCATCAGTTATGACTATAAATAAGGTTATGGTCCCCGGTTGCAGTATCGAATGAAGCTTCTCTTCACCCATTAAGGAGAAATCTAAAGTTCTTAAAGGATACTTGTAATTGGAAGACCAAATCACCAATCAATTCAGAAAATACTCTAATGGATTCATCAGGTACGCTTCCGTATTAATCTGTTTCTTAATTGTTGTAGAATTTCATGCATATTATAATGGATTTGATAAGTTTTATGGAAACATTCTTAATCCCTTATTTTGGATCTATTCGGTTTTGATTCTATAAAACAATTATTTGATCCATATTTGATATGTTAAAAAAACCCAACAAGTGGTATCAGGGCCATCCTACAATGATTGATGAACATTTAAGTTTTTTTCTCATGAATTTTAATGATGTTTTCATTAATATTTTAAAGTAATTTGGTTCTATCATCGTTGGGAAAGATGATAGTTTTATGTAATCATGCTATTTTGAAGTGATTTGGTTCTATTATCATTGGAAAAGATTATGGTTTTATGTAATCATGCTACAGTATGCTTCACATTCAATTCAGTGCCTTTTTCTGATGTAATATCAGTTTAATTTTGGATTATCTTTTCCACTTTGTGTCTTTTCCTATTCATCAATATGTAAAAATTCATTTTTGCACTACAAAGCATAAATTTCCCAAATTCTTTTTGGATTTTATCTAATTAATATGAATTTAATTAATTAGATATTGTTGCAATATTATGTTGGTTTAATAATATTGTTGCAATATTATGTTGGATTAAACATAATATTGGTTCTATAAAGTTGTTTGTTGACATAAATTGAATGATTTACATGCTTTAAATATTTTAGTCAACAAATTAAGATCAAACCAATTTGACTAATATGGTCCAAATTCAATTAATTGTTTAATATTAGATTGAGTAATTTAATATTTGAAGTCGCCAAAGTGACCTCTCATATATAATATTTCTCATGAAAATATTAAATGTAGTGTGTATTTACATCCATGCGGTAATTACCTGGCCCAAAGGAAGGTTAATGACTGACAGGATTTTATACATACCTGTAATGGTAAACACGTGACAATTATAAAGTTATACATGTAAATGATAAATCAATCCAAAGATAGGTTTCTCATTTGACATGCCTTATTATCAGTGTTTGATCAATTACAACAAGACCACCACTAGCAATTAATATTGAAGTCCAAAGACAAGATATTAATGTTGCACTTGGTATCTTGAGATGGGTTAAATCATTATTTGAAATTACTTAAGTTTATGGCAATAAATATGAGCATAATCTCTGGTTGTCTATTGTTCTCTTATTTAGGTTCTCTTGCAACAATATCTGCTAACCTCAGTTCTGTACCAGTTCTAAATGGAACCAACTTTAAGGATTGGAAAGAAAACATTCTGATCGTTTTGGGATGTATGGATCTAGACCTTGCACTAAGAGAAGACCAACCTGCTTCTCTTACAAAAAATAGTACTCATGATGAAAGGAGACTATATGAGAAGTGGGACAGGTCTAATCGCATGAGTCTTATGATCATTAAGCATGGCATTCCAGAAGCCTTTAGGGGTGCAGTATCCGAAGGGATTACCAAGGCCAAAGATTTTCTTACAGAAATAGAAAAGCGTTTTCTTAAAAACGATAAGGCGAAAACAAGCACTCTACTTCAAAGCTTATTTACCATGAGATACAATAGTAAAGGAAATATAAGGGAATATATTATGGAAATGTCTAATCTTGCTTCTAAGCTTAAAGCATTAAAGCTTAGCCTATCAGAGGACTTACTTGTCCATTTGGTTTTGATATCTCTCCCTGTACAATTCAATCAGTTTAAGGTCAGTTATAACTGTCAAAGGAACAAATGGTCTCTTAATGAGCTCATTTCATATTGTGTGCAAGAAGAAGAAAGATTAAAGCAAGAAAAGATTGAAAGTGCAAACTTGGCCAACACCTCTAAGGATAAGGGCAAGAAAAGAAAATATAAATCTAGAAAGAATGAGGCTGATAAGGGTCCAGTACAGAAGAAACAAAACAAAACAAGGTTTTGATTCTATAAAATAATTATTTGATCCATATTTGATATGCTAAAAGAACCCAACAAATCCTTCCATTATTACCGCATCTTGTGCTTTAATTGTATACAATCAATTTCTCTCATCTATCGGCACTCTTTTGTTTTCAAACAAAAATATCATTCGGTATTGAAAATAAGAATAAACATATTATAAGAGTTTCAAGACATGTTGTATTTAAAAGAAGAGGACATGTGAGGATGGGGGAGCAAGAAAATAATAAAAACAGAATATTATGATATAATTAAAAGAGAAATTTTTTAATAAAAAAATAAAATAATATTAAACAAAAGGTATGATTAAAGAACACTCATAAAATATTCCTATGTGCACATATCTTTATTTCATGAACCATAGTCATATTTATATGACCTAATGATAACTATTTTATTAGGATTAAGTTGGCACTAAGAGAGGGGGGGGGTTAAATTAGTATTATCGTAAAAATTGATTCGATTTGAAACTTTCAGCTTGATAGAAACATATCAAAAAAGATGTTGAAAATATGCTTGACTTAGAATAAGAGTGCAATTAAGGAAGAAAAACAATAGTAATGAAGAGCAACAAGAAAGTGCACACTAATTTTATAGTGGTTCGGTCGTCGTGACTTATGTCCACTCCCAATTCCTTCTCCGTTAAGGTCATCGTCATCCACTAATGGTCTTCCTTCAATGGGTGAAGACCAACCACCCTTTAATAACTCTTTCTCCTTTATACAGGTTTAGGAGACAACATTTTTCAAACCTCACACCTCTCTTAGATTGATAACAAAAACTAAAGAAGGAAGAGGAAGACACTTAGCACTTTTTACAACACTTTCACACCCCAAAACGTCAAGACTTTTGTTCACACTTTCGTGCTCTTTTTATTAGGATTAATACGACACTAAGAGTAGAGTGGGGGACCTATAAAAAAAAAAAGAGTAGAGTGGGGGGGGGGTAATGTTGGGGTTTGGGGGTTTGTGAATTAGTGCTTACGTAAAAACATCGATTTGAAAAACTAGTTCGATGAAAACCAATATCAAAAATATGTTTAAACTTGAAAGAATTTGTAAGTGTAGTAAATAAGTGAGCAAGTAAATTAGTTAGCAATTATAAATGAAAAGCATAAAGAAAATTATAAACTAATTTATAGTGGTTCAGTCGTCGTGACCTACGTTCACTCCCGATTCCTCTTCCGTCGAGGCCACCGGCATCCACTAACAGTTTTCCTTCAATGAGCGAAGACCAACTACCCTCTTACAACTCTTTCTCCTTTTTATGGGTTTTGGAGATAACCCTTACAAGCCTCTCACCTCTCTTGAATGCTCACAATATTAGAAAGGGAGGAGGACACTTAACACTTTTATAACACTTTCACACCTTAGAAATCTTTCCCATTTTTACTTAATTCTTGCTTCTCCATGCAGGAATAGCTAGTGTATTTATAGACCCCAAATGACTTTAAAAATAAAGTCAAAAAAGGTCTCATCTTAGGTTTCCTAGATCCTGACATACCATCACCTGTGATGGGTGGTACCATTGTCTGCAACACTAACATTGGGCGATACCACTACTTAGTCTGGCGATACTACCACCTGACACAGTTTGGGAGACTATATCTGGGCGGTACCATCGTCTGACACAATCTTGAAGATTGTGTCTGGGCGATACTACAACTAGTCTGGCGGTACCACCGCTAGACTTTGCTACAGGACACTTAATGGGCCTTTCTCTTGGCCCAAAATAGCCCTGATTCAAGCCCAATTGGCCTCTAATCAAGTTTGCATGATTATACCTAAAACTAACTCAATTAGACCTCTAAATTACTTCAATCTAGATAAATTATTACAAGTAAGAATATTAAGTTGTCCGACATGTCATTGGTTCATCCGACGCTTCGTTCGAACTTTCAGCACATCATCCTATCTTGTGACGTATTGCCCAATCGGCATGTTGACCTCGTAACACTTGATTTCTTTGGTGCAATGTCCGATCCTTCTAGCCCAATGCCCGAACTCATGGCACGAAGCCTTCTATCGACATGTCGACCTTCCTTCCGTCTGACATCCAATCTTTTGACATATTACATTCCGACCCAACTTGATTCTTCCTGCTTTAATCAAATTGCCTCTCTATGATCGAAGCTAGTCCTGCATCAATCAAAACACATTAGATTATAACTTTATCAATTAGTTTCATTATAAAAATTTATGATTCAACACTTTAATAATGCAGAAAGGAGTGGGGTATTTATAGGCCCCAATGGCTTTAAAAATAGAGCCAAACAGTGTCTCATCTCAGATTTTCGAGGTACTAGCGGTACCACCATCATTATTGGGTGGTACCACCACCTGTAGACTGACATTGGATGGTACCACCGCCCAGTCTAGGCGGTACCACCACTCAGACTAGGTGGTATGACTGCTTGACAAAGCCTCGAAGACCGGGCTTAAGCGGTACCACCACTTGACAGGGCGATACCACCGCCTGGCAGCATTAACTATCGGTGGTACCATCGCCCAGACCACTTGAGAGGTTGAGCCTCAAGTAGTACCACCGCACAGTTTAGGCGGTACCACTACCTAGTTTGGGTGGTGCCACCACTTGACATGGTTCCAAATGGCTGAATGGGCCATCCAACCAGCCCAATTCAGCCTTGTTAAGGGTCCAGTTGGCCCCTATTTGAGTTAGTAGGATTTCTCCCAAAACTAACTCAATTTTAAGTCATAACTATGATATTTAAGGCTAAAACAATTAAAATACAAGCAATCTAATTTGTCTAGCATGTCAATTGTTCAGCCGAACTTTCGGTGAATTTCCGACGAACTCCTAGTGAACTTCCAACGAGCTTTCACTGCATCGTATGATCCTTCGGTGTATCTCCCAATTCATTTGGCCCTATGCCCGATCATTCACTTCTGCCCAACTTTGATTCTTCTTTAATTATTTTGCCTTTCTTACGATCGTAGTTTATCCTGCATCACTTATCTCAACACATGAGTTAGATAATTAATTTACCAATTGATTTCATCATCAAAATCTGAGATTCAATATATTTCACCTTATCATCCCACCCATGATTAAGTTAGGTGTAGGAACTATCATCATCATAATAACTTTTTAGATTATAGACCACTTAGGTAGAACTATTTGGAACATAGTCAGAACTATTTAAAATATGACAACTACTAAGATAACTACCTATAAATCAATTCTCAACACTCTCCCTCGATTTATAATAACATACACTAATTTAAGACATGAAATAAATATGCTTATGAAATATAAGTGACGGTGAGAATATCTGCAACTTGTTCATCTGTGCTACAATACTTCACTATTATGAATACTTGCTACAAAATCCCAGATAAAATGATAATCTCTATATTCTTCATTCTTCTATAAAAAGTTAGATTCTTCGTTATTGCAATTATGGCTTTGTTGCTATAAAATATTTTAGTTGCATCTTCTTAATGAAGTTCTCCAAGAAGTCTTCTAAGCCATATTGCTTAATAAGCTGCTGATGTTGCAACTACATATTCTGCTTCCGATTATGATAGTGTAGTTGTTACTTGCTTCTTTGAACTCCAAGATATGGCTCATGATTTGAGGTTAAAAATATTACCTAAAGTACTTTGTTTTTCATCCAAATCTCCTGCCCAATCATTATCAATGAAACCAAATAATTTACATTTAAAATTATGATAATACCAAATGCCATAATCTATAATTTTAACAATATAACGTAAAATTTTTTAATAGCTCTAAGTTGATGTTTGCTTAGATTATGCATAAACCTAGATACTACATCCAACTAAACCTAGGTAATATTTGGTTGAGTATGAGTTAGATAAATCAAACATCCAACTAAAGTTTTGTAATATCTTGCATTTATTAAATATGTACCATCTTTAAGTTCCAATTTCTCATTTATATTCATGGGTGTTATTGTAGCTTTCAATTAATCATGTTAGACTTTTTGAATAGAACCATTGCATATTTTCTTTGTGAAATAAAAAAATTTATTTGATTCTCGCTTCACCTTAACCTATGAAAATAGTGCAATAAACCTAAATTTGACATTTCAAACTTATTTATCATGTATTTTTTAAATTCTACCATAAAAGAATTAGATGAACCCATATATATAATATCATTAACATAAAGGTAAAATATGAGAATATTATATTTACCCTCCTTTAGACAAAGAGTAGGTTCATCATTGCTCCTCTTAAACCAATTTTGATGAAAATAATAATCAATTTTGCTGTATAATGCCCTTGGAGCTTATTTAAGCCCATAAATAGTTTCTTTAGCTTATACATCTTTTTTTCATATCCTTTAACTAAAAAACCTTTGAGTTGAGTAACAAAAATCTTTTCTTATAAATCTTCATTTTAAAACATATATTTTATATCAAATTAATAAATAGGTCAACTCAAGTAAGCAACTAAATCTAAGACAATTCTCATGGTTTCGAATCTAGCAATTGGAATATCATCAAAATTAATAGCTTTTGCTATAAGCAAAGCCTTATGCTTTTGGATACTTCTATCTATATTCTACTTTGTTTTGAACACCCATTTTAATCCAATAACATTCTTTTCTTTTAGTAGATTCGTTAGCTCCTAGGTTTCATTCTTTTTAATTGACTTAATTTATTCTTTCATTGCCTTTTGCCATTCCTCTTTTTCAATTACTTCCTCAAAACTTATAGAATATGAAATAAATAAAACAAATATTGAATCATAAATTTCTATCGGTGTCTAGTTTTACTGAAGTTTGAATTTATTTTTCACCTTCATTGGTCTTCCAATTTTAACTTGTCCTTTCATCAAATATAATATTTTTATTAATAATAACTTTACCACTAATAGGATTATACAATTGATATGCTTTTGATTTTAAGGAATAATCAATTAAGATGTATTTTTAAAATTTTTCACAAAGCTTATGATGGTTTTGTGAATTTGCTAAAGTATAAGCAATACAACTAAAAATTCTTATATGGGTTATACTTGGATTCATACTATACCAAGCTTCAAAAGGAGTTTGATTCATAATAGTCTTTGTTGGTGAAATATTTAGCAAATAAATTATTGTTGCAACTACTTCTACCCAAAATTAATTTAGAAGAAGATGCTTTCTTTTAAGTGAACTTATTACCATTTTCATGATAGTTTGATTCTTACGTTCAGCTATACCATTTTGTTCTGGTATACATGGTGTTATAAATTCCCTACAAATATCATTTTCTTCAAAATAAATTAAACTCATGATAAAAATTCACTATATCTATCTATATAAAGTGTCTTTATACATATACTACTTTGCCTTTCTATAAGTGTCTTAAATTTTTAAATATTTATCAAATATTTTATATTTTAATTTCAGAAAATATACCTAACTCATATGACTATAATCATATATAAATAATAAAAAATATTAATTTTTACCAAATAATTTTATATTCATAAATCCACATAAATTATCATGAATTAATTCAAGATAATTAGATGCTCTCCATGCTTTTTCAATAGGAAATAATTTCTTACTTTGTTTATCATTAATGCATCATTCATATATATCAAGTGTATTAATTTTAAACAATCCAAAAATTATTATTATTTAATTAATAAACTTAAACCCTTAATGTTAATGTGTCTATATCTTAAATGCCACAAATTAGACTCATGCTTTTGAGTTATAATAAGAGCATTCATTTTAATATTTTAAATATTAAGTATAAACATCTTGTTTTATATCATACAAGCATTTACTATAATCAAACCAGATTTTTTAACTTTAATAATGCATAAACCATCATAAAAAATAATTTAATATCAGTCATCTATCAATTATCAAATACTCAACAAGTTATTTGATAAATTAGAGAAAAAAATATAATATCAAGGTGTTTTACCTTCCTTTAACTTGTCGTCACGTTCCTTTCCTTTCCACTTGGATTTGCTTGTTATCTCCAAGTCTATCTTTTAACTTGTGAGTTTTATTAATAGCTCTAAACGTTGATCTTATGCCTGACATATGATTAAAATATTTACTATCCACAAACCAAATATCATTTGAGATATTATTAACATATGAATTTATCATAAACAACTTATTATTTTCTTCATTTTCCTCCATATAGCTTATTTGGTTTTCTCTTTTCCAACAATCATCTTCTTGTGACCAAACTTTTTATAATAATGACATTGAATTCCACTATTGTAGTTTTTTTTATCATAATTTGATTATTTTTATTTATCATACCTATCGAAGTGTTCTCTTCCTCTTCCTCTTCTATTTCCAATACCAAGAAATCCTTCTCTGTTATATATCCCCTTTCTATTGATTTTTTGTCTATTCTTTTGAAGTAGAAGACTCTCCTTGAAATACTTTTTCTTTATTTTTTTCAAGTGACTTGTTTAAC